TCTCTCTCTCTCTCTCTCTCTCTCTCTCTCTCTCCTTCTCTCTTATCAGTCTAAAAACTATTCAATCGATTCTGATTATTAAAGTTCATATGCGAGAACAAATCAAAAATAAACTTTTGAACGATCATTTTTGATTAATAGTATAGTGTTATTGTTTTAACTATTTGTTGTTATCATTTACTACGCTTGTTATCACTTTTATTTATTATTTTCTTCCTATTATTGTTATTGTTATTATTATTGTTATTGTTGTTGTTATTCTTATTGCTATTGCTATTGTTATTGTTACTGTTATTGTTCTTGTTCTTCTTATTGTTCTTTTATTTCCTATCGATTTTTCTTCTTGCTCTAACTATTACTATTAATGTTCAATGTGTTGATGTTGTTTGTATTACTGTTATTTTACTTTGCTTTCATTGTTATCAGTTTACGTTATCATTATTGCACAATGATTGCTATTGTTAAGATGATAAGAAAAACGATATGTACTATTGTCATTTTATCATCATTGCATGAACCTTTCCCTTTACATTCCTTCTCTTTCCAATGAAATTCATTCTCTTTTTACCCGCCCGCTATACTATCACTGCCAATGTCTTCCATTCCTTTCTACTCAAATCGTTTTCTCCTTATCTTAAAAGATTAATTAAAAAGAAAAAAAAAACGAAATCGAAATTCATGCACAAGAAATTAAAACGAATGATGCGCAAAAAATTTTCGGATATACTACATGAAATGGAACTTTTCCCCCCCCCCCTCCCTCCCCTCCATCATTTGCCTTTGCTTCCTTCGCTTTACCTTTTTTCCTACTCTCAGTACTTCCCCCTTCCCTCCCTGTTACCTCCACCTGCTCACTTTCATGATAATCATGATTATTGGGGTCAAATGAAAACACAATTTGACCTAATTCAACAAGAATTTCAAACAATGTGATTTATGTCTTCTAGCAAAGAGGGAAAGAAGAGAATTATTTTTAAGTATTGTCAAATTTTTACCGCCACTTTTTCGATAACTTTTGGACAAATAAAAAATTTTTCTTATTCCTATATTTTGAATTAATTTGAATGAATTAATATCAAAATAATTGAATTCATTCGAAAAATTCTCACTATATTCAAATTCAATTTTCAAAAACATTTTTTTTTAAATTAGTAAGTAAACTTCATGCATACACATGAGATAATATCAATACTATCACCAGGACCAATATCCTACTGTATGTACACGTCTTACCATATTATCAATAACACTAGTAAATGTTATCAACAAGTGATCATTCTATGCTGACGAATGAAATCCTAAAAAGTAAAATTTTAAGGAGTAATTCCATCACTACAACACAAGTAATAAAACAAAGAAGTTAAACTAACATCTATGATTAATCACATGTTAAACAAGCAACGGAAAGAGTTTAAAATGTTTGAAGTAACATTTTGATCAGTGATAAGCTATCAATTATCAATGAAAGTATCTACAACGTTTAAATGAAGTACTTCCTCCTCCTCCCACCGATTGACTGTCAGATCTTTGATGTATAATGACCTGGTAAAGATTGCAAGAAATTTTCCGAATAATGAAATTTTGAAAATCCTGCTAAAAACCATAAAACAGGAATAGTAACTTGGAAAGAATAATTTCAAAATCTGAAATTGTGAGAATTGGTATGCTAAATATGAAAGATCACATTGAGCTATTAATGTTTGTTATCTTATTTATTCTAAGATTATAAATTCTTTCACTAATGATTTTATTCATCAAACTATTGAACTCTTTCCCTTCCAATATTTCTCTTTCTCTCCTATGGCATAGAAAATAATTTCCAAATTTGAATATCTTTAGTTAACAAAAAAAAAAAACAAATTTTTAAAATATCATAAATCATTATTATGAAAATCTTTTGCAGAATTTAGACAGATTTGAAAAGAAAAAAAAAAATTGCTCCAATTTCATTCAAAGTATATCATAAAATTATTTTTTTTTTAAAAAAAGAAACTATAAATATTTAAATGTATTCAAAAACAGAATCCATTGAGAGGAAGAAAAGAATCAAAAAGGCTAAGAAGAAGATAGCGTGTCGTACACCATGTCGTCCCCATTCTCATCAATCCATTCTTATTGCTCACAAACATTCATAGGATTCAAAATTTGTGACCTATTACTAATCGCCGTTAAAATCAGTTCAAGTTCTTCGCAATAAATGAAATACAAAAAGTTGGCTGTACTCCAAATCCAAATCATTTACCAAAAATCGATCCATTTCAGTTGACAATTATCGAGGATAATGTATATATATATATATATATATATATATATATATATATATATATATATATATATATATATATATATATATATATATATATATATATATATATATATATATATATATATA